TTATTTCTTTACATTAATTTCATATATATTTTATTTTATATTTTATTTCATCCAAAGTAAATTTTTTTTTTTAACTTGTATATATTTTTAGTCCAGTTCGATAAAAATAAAATCTTAATTCTGGCTTTTATAAATTTTTAAAAAAAAAAATACATGTTATACATTTTTTAAAATACATGTGCTTTTTTAAGTTTTGATACCAAATAAAAATAAAACATAATGAAAATATATGAAATAAAAAAAAATACTTGCCGTACACTAGATAACATTATAAACTGACTGCCCTTTGGTCTAGTAATGAATTTTAAAATGGTCTTAATAAATGTAATTTATTCCTGGTACTATTATATTTATAGAATTATAGAAGAATGTGAAGCAATGTTAAAAAAAGATGTTGCTGATAATAAGAGTATGGGTCAACATGGTGCCAAAGTTATCATTAACCAATGTGGTAATGACAATCTACATGTTATGACACACTGCAATACTGGTTCGTTGGCAACAGCCGGATATGGCACTGCAATAGGTTAGCTTATATGTTCTTCAGATTTGTTTTCAAACAGCTAGCTGCCAAAATATTCTAATAAAATTGAAATATATATATTCCAATGGCCGATTTTACTGAGAAAACAAATTTCTGAGCCTGGGTCAGATTATGATATTTCGTTCAATATTGGTACAAACTGTGTAGTGCTCCTAATAATTAATGACATATGCACTCATCTGCGGCTTGTGTATATATGGTGTGAATTGTGCAATATCTCGTGGTATACTCGCCTTTCGGCGGGGGGTTATTGCTTAAATAATGAATGAGCACTACCATCGGAAGCACAGTATGTCATGTGACAATAAATCAGTAATAGTGGCTATTTTAGTACTATCATGATGAAATAAGTTAATAATCAGTATTTAGTGAATTGATTTGCTGAAACAATTGTTTTCAATATCATTGTTTTTTGGTTGTATGTTATATTTCATTTCAGGACCTATCTAGAACTTACTTGTTCTCAATGCTTAAAAATATTATATTAGAAATAATTGCTGTTAACATTATCGGTAATATCACTGTTTTTTTTCAGGCGTTATCAGAGCACTCCATGAGATTGGTAAATTGGAGCATGCATATTGCACAGAAACAAGGCCTTACAACCAGGGTTCTCGACTTACAGCCTATGAAATGGTGCATGACAAAATACCAGCAACTTTAATAGCAGATAGTGCAGTTGCTATGACAATGAAAACTAAACCTATTTCTGGTTGGTATTCTATCAGATTTCATTTTCTATTAGTTCGATTTCAAATGTGTGGGGAGCAATTATTTTTTTGCATCCTGTAATAATTGTCTATCATTTGTATAAAATCGTAATTGTAATTTAAATTTAAATCTAATGTTTTTGTCATGGAAACAAAATTAATTTCAAATTTTCCTCCATAATTACAGCTGTTGTTGTAGGAGCAGATCGAGTAGTTGCTAATGGAGACACAGCCAACAAGATTGGCACCTATCAGATGGCAATTGTAGCAAAGCATTTTGGGATACCATTTTTTGTTGTATCACCTTCGACATCTATTGATCTGCATATACCAAGTGGAGAGGACATAGTCATTGAGGAAAGGTCACATGATGAGTTAACAAAAATGAAAGGACATCAAATTGCAGCACCAGGTACAAGACAAAATACAGTAGCAACCTTGGGTTACTCACTGGTAACAGGCCATTATAATAAACAAAATGACCTATATCATATTAATTTTAAAATTGTTATATTTTGTTAAAGTGCCACAGTCATAGTTTATTTATTAAACCACAATTCATCACTCTTCAAAAAATGTCCACATTTTCTATATAGTCCTATAATGTAAACTTCTAATTTACATCTTTTTACATTCCAGGTATTGGTTGCTGGAACCCAGCTTTTGATGTGACACCAGCGGAGCTGATAACCGGTGGCATAGTCACGGAACATGGTGTTTTCAAACCAGAAGTTTTGAAAAAAGAAATGGAAGAGCTAGGGTCATATAATATAAGAAAAAAAACAAAATTTGAAAATTGAATACTGTGACCTGAGTATCACTCTTCACTAATTTTTTTGCCAAATACATCTTAATCTTATATTTGAATTTTCAAATCACTTAACATATTTGTTATTTTATGCGGCCTGGAAGGTAAACAGAAGACAAATTAAGAGACAATGGTGTAAATGCAACAAAGTAGCATTGTTTGATTGTGACTGGTTCATGGAATCTTTGAGGGTGTAACTGCATCCATGTGAATAAGCAACTTTGCTATTTTTCCACTAATATCGCCAATGAATCTGCAAAAGTTGTATTGCTACATGGTCACCTGTATACACTTGTCACAATATCAGGGCATATCAAGAGTTTTACAAACATTTTAACCAGTTAAAAAATAAAGGGATGATATTTCCCTCTCTAGATCTGCCATTGAGTATGCAAAACTTATCAACAACCAATCAGAAAATTGACAAGAACTGTTTTTAAGAGTTATATTCTGGCTGACTGACAAAGTCTCACAGGAGAGCTCTGAGAATGTGGGGATTTTTAAAACAGTATATATTGTTTTGTAACACTGTGCTGACCCCTAGTCAATTAAAAGCCTTTCTACTTAAAGTTTCTGAAATGTACAAACTAATCTACATCTAATCTATAATTGTTTTGTTAAAGAAAAAACTACTGAATTTTCCATTACATTCGCCTGGTTGCAGGCATGTCTTAATGGCAAAATATTACACACTAAGGTTTAATGCCTCAGATGAGAAGAATAGCCCCCTCTATATTCACCAGCTTAGTTTCACTTGTTTTAGTTTGAATCATATTGATAGCTATTTAATCTAAATGATGATAATCATTTTTATCAAAAATAATCTCTTTTTCAAGTACTGCCAAGTCATCATATATGGGCATTATTTCATTAAATATTAATAATTGTTGAATCATAACTACATGGAACCATCTTTATCCTTCCTTAAAGTTGTACTTTAAATGCTATATTTGCTCTATCAGTAGCATATGTGCTTACTGTAAATATTAAAGACTAAGACAAGTCCATGGTCAAAATAAGACGTATTTCAATGATTTTGCATGCAATAAACACAAATTTTTGCTGTTTGTTTATTGAAGATGCGCTTCTAATAAAGAAATTACAGTATTCCTTATTTGTACTTCATGCCTCCAGTACCTTCAATTCAGCACACAGGAAAAAGCTTTTTTCGATTTTGAATTGAAGATTATTTCATGTACATGTAGTTTTGAATGTACCAAGTGGCATTCATAAAATTTCCCACATTTACACAGGGTCAAAGTTCAATAAGCTAATTATGTAATACATGATTTAGATTTGTGTGCAATTCTGTTGAAATATAATTCACTATATGAATACTTAAACTGAACATTTAGGTAATTAAATATTTACTAAGGTCTTTCAAAAGGCTAGCAGGAAACAAAATTATTATAAAATACCAGTTTGAACTACAAAGAATAGTGTTCCAATGTAATTTATATACATGACGTATATAAATTATGTTTTTTATTTTTGAATCCACTTTCTGAAAAAACAATTCCTGCAATACACTGCCACATTTGCATAAAACAGGGATATTGACTCAAAGAACTTTTAGATAATATAAACACTCTACATCATCATATTTCAAGTTTTAGTACTGTAAGTTATTTCTGTCATGAATAAAATAAAATCTACATTTTGAAACTTGTGATATGTGTGAAAGATTATTTTCCGTAATTTATTCCGTTAGTAGTCTTTGCATAACTATTTATTCAGTTAGTAGTCTTTGCATAACTATTTATTCCGTTAGTAGTCTTTGCATAACTATTTATTCCGTTAGTAGTCTTTGCATAACTATCTATTCAGTTAGTAGTCTTTGCATAACTATTTATTCCGTTAGTAGTCTTTGCATAACTATTTATTTAGTTAGTAGTCTTTGCATAACTATTTATTCAGTTAGTAGTCTTTGCATAACTATTTATTCAGTTAGTAGTCTTTGCATAACTATTTATTCAGTTAGTAGTCTTTGCATAAC